GCCGTAAGGTTATTTCGTTATCTAAACTCGTTTGGTGAAAGTTTAAAGGACTATCAAATTTAGTATCCTTGTTGGACATATGAGAACTTTCTACAAATGAAACATAATTTAACATAGCCTCTATCCTTCTAATAATACTTATAAAACTTCTTTTGAATAACTATTATAATGTATTGCTGAAAACAGTTTTATTAAAAAAAAGCAATTTAAAAGATCTAAGCGTGCACACAGTGGCGGCGACATAATTTTCTACTATGTAAAGATTATGTTAAATTTCCAATCGATTTTGATCACAGTATGTTAAATTATTTTTTAGAACTTAAAAGTCTGGAGTTTCAGTGTGTTGTTATTTATATATGTAAATGAGGACCATAGAAGAAGGTTATGCAAATTATAAATGTGTAGAGTAGATAATGCAAATAATTTAATTAATTTAAAATTAAATCGAAGGTATTTAATTTATAACAAACCCACATTTGGACAAGTCATAAATTAAATATAATTTAATGCAGCTCGGTATGTTTGGAATCCAACGTGGCGAGCCTATCGTCGTCTTTCGGATTAAGTTTTAGTTTGCTATTGGCGATTCCTTCATGGTAGTGTCATTCTAGAGGCTATAAAAGGTAGATATTTTAAAAAAATCCATTCCGCCATTTCTGTATAGTGATGGATTGTTGGTCATCATAATTTTTTTTATGTAGTAACTAATAGTAGTACTCTTTGGTGATAAACCATAATAAAATAATTACTAATTTATAAATAATTTTAAAATTAAGGAATAATCTGAATATTTATTTTTACTTACATTCTAACTATTCAATTATCAGACACTGCTACATAATGGTCCACAAAAATACAATGTTGAACAAAGGCCGCCGACCTGAGAGCATGCTAATTATGCCTTGATACCTGGCAGCTAATTACGCCAATTGCTCCAAGCATTGCACAGAAATGCGGATTATTCTCTCGATTCTATGTAGGACCGATTACCTACTGGAAAGCGGAGACGACAATGTCTAAAGTATTATAAATATTCCACACATTACTCCAGCAATTACTTTAAATAACCCTCGCCTCCTTGGCATAAAATGTGTGTAATTTGGATTACTTATTTGCTTGTGAACTATGTCGCGTTAAGTTAATAATTACAGCAGTGCACTTGTTTACATACCATTGTTTGATCTTGGTTTCAATTGACTCTGAAAAAGTTCATGAGAGCGGTGGTATACCATAAATGGGGGATAATGAGGAAACATCTATTATATTATACATTGTGTCATATTGTTTTATCCAAACTAGTGTTAGAAAGAGGAGAAAGTTCATTTTTTGTTTGTAATGAATACCTACAGGTAAAAATATATTGAATATTTAAAAAAATATTTCACACTTAAAAAGCTATATTATTAGCGAGTATCATTAGCCGTATTTTATTTTCATAACACTCCTTTTTGCTTCGCCGTAGTCGAACAGTTTGTCTACATGTTTGTGTGTTTATCACTCGCTTGCTTACTCAATATTTGTGAAGATGATTGGATGAAGGATTTCAATGTGTATAATCCATTTAATTTCAATCATAATGCTTTTGACAAACTGCAGTAGCATATGCTGATGGTCGCTCTGTTCTCTCATATTTGAAGAAGAAGAATTTAATAATGAATCTATATTATTGTAAACGATATTTGAAAAGAATACGAGCTGAGTTTATTGTCAGTTCTTCTCATCCGAACTGATGGTAGATTTGACATATCATAAGAGTCTGTAATAGACCTACACGAATAAAGATATTTCGATTTTGTTATATGAAAGGTATGACAAGCCACAGAAATTCTGTGGCTCTTTATACCTTTCTAAATCTGACGGATAAAGTCGTAGCAATAATTAATGTAATTTGTAGGTATATATTGTATTTATTCTTTGTAAGTACCCACTTATGTATATTCAATAAGTAGAACATATTGCGGTCAAAACTGTGACGTCATGTAGGACAAGTGGCGAATACTTATCATGCCCTACCCGTCAAATGATTGAAATAGAAATGTATTGACCCGGAACTAGAACTTGCCGACATATATATTATATATATATATATATATGACATATATATTTATATATATATATATAGATGACATAGATGTCAAATACTTAAACATATATGACACACGTTTCCTCAAATTAACAAAATTAAAGCACATAATGTATAATGAGGTAACGTGCTATTTCCCCGCCTGAGGGTTACCGAAATCGCCGTCCCCCACTATTTATTAATTATAATAATAATAACCTGAGGACAATTCACATGGCGTCATGTAGTCCCAAGCTTAGCAGAGTTTGTGTTATGGGTACTACACTATTGATATAAATACTTTTTTTTTAAATACATACATAATATTCATAGTAAATACACAATACTAATAACAATCATACTCATATGAAGATAAATGTTGGTACCTACCGTATAATATAATCGGAAGTAAGTCGGTGTTTAAACTACGCGAGATCATCAAGGTCGTCAAAATGATTAGGAGATATTATTAATTGAAGATTATTTATTCATTAATTTTGTTTTATTATTTAAAAAACAAATTGCTTAATAAGTTAATATTTGACTTGAAAAAATCGCGGTGCTTGCCGCTCGGGCCATGCGTGGTGTACACCGCATATAACTAAATAAAAATATGTGACATATATATATATATATAGTAATGACTTAAAATGTCAACACATCACACGAGTTGTTTCCTATAATAAAACCCCGACCGTCTCGTCGTTAATAGCTCATCAAGCTGTTAAAGTGTTGACTGATTGAGCTGTCAGCCCGCTTTCTTTTAGGTACACAAATTTGGTTACATTTTATTATTATAAAAATACAATATACTGAGTAGATTTTCTACAAATTAGTTTCTTTTTTGAGTCGTGCTTGTGTGTGAAACTGTGACTCGTTTGTAGGGTGGATATGGCATTATTATTGAGACTAGTGGACGCCCATTGGTCGAAAATATACCATAATTCATTTAAATTATAAGTTTGAACATTATGGTTCTATTGACAAAGATTATAACTTACGTGTGTCATACAAGGTGGTGTAAAGTTTATTTTATTGCTAACATTTTTTTTAAACGTACAAAAATCCATTTGATTTTAGTTCATAAGTTTAAAAAAATGTTAGCATTCTGCACTGCTACTCTATATAAACTATAAGTGTGCGAATTATCATACACCTCTGGCACTTTTAGTAAAAAGGAGTACAAAGATTTTACGGCACGTATTAATATTTTGATTACAAGAAGATATTACAACACGAGCATCATATGATAATTGTCATCTGTTAATGTACTCTTATGCAGCATTTTAGCTTTAAAGTTTTTAACTCCAATAATTTGGAAAATTTGACCTATGTCAGTAGTACAGCTGTGTGGTATGTTGTGGTAAATACTACTACCGATGACTCGTTTTTAAAACTAATTATTATGAAAGTGAGCCACATGCCGTCACCAAATTACTTTTGTACAGTAAAATATATCTATATAAAAGGTTTCTCTTATAATTTATATATACTTCGTGATCCATACAAGATGACAATAAGTGAGATTTCAAATGACGTTGCTATTCTATGAGGATAATTACAATCTCGGAACCTACATACGTAACGGCTACTTCCGCGGTAACAACACAGTAAGGCGTGTCTAGTTAGTCGTTAGCCTTACTCGAGGCGATACAAATACCTGAGAGCAATTATATATGCCTAATTTGTCTAGACCTATTGCGAAGTAACTGTAGCGTTTATTTTGCAGACATCTTTAATGTTTAGTGAATAATGAAGTTTTGTACCATTTACATACATATCTACAGTGAAATGGTTGCAATTGTTTGAATAAAATTGTCGTTTTTTATGTAATCTAGTTATTTTAATCATGGATACTATCATGTATGAAATGTTATTAAGGCATCAGACACGTTATTAGCCGTCGATGTAGCACTTTAAATGCGCACATTTCGCTGGGTATAGGTACTATCTAATATATCAAAGATCGAGCCTACCACGCCTTTCGGATTAATTTGATTTATTATCGGCGTTTCAATTACAAAAATGTCAAATATAATTTGACTCACAATATTCTTTCGGTCTTGGCTAGATTTTTTCAACCCGAAGTTTCAATTATAGTAAATAATCTATTACTTGATCACATTTCCTACCGCGTACCAGTAATAGACAAGATTCACAGTCTTGTACATTTTAGGAAGTCCAGTTTTTCGTTCGGTTATGGAATGCAATTAGACACATGGGCTTGTTTATTTATGTCGCAAGTGTGCTTAATTTTGAGCGTTTAGTTGCTATAAAAATGCAGTCGTAAAATTTCATGTGAATGTCGTCAAGGATATCCATCAAATTTGCAACGCTATTTAGGAATTGTATTTAACTTGCACACTTAACTTAGATACCTGCTTAGTTATTTAAAATTTATGGTCCTTGCGATGTATAGAATAATTAAAAAATGACTATATAGTTTAAAAAATAGTTTTCTTAATTCATAACATCGAGCAAATTCTTTTTTAACAACCTATTTTGACGTTAACTTAATAAATTAAATAAAACAGAAATTCTAGAAATGAAGATCACATTGAAAACAATACCAAAAGTAAATTTTGGAAATTTTACCGCTAAATTAGCTGGGTTTAGTTAGCGGTAGATAATAAATATAATGACCTAAGGCACAGATGTTATAAAATTTCCAAAATTTACTTTTGGTGTTGTTTTGTATGTGATCTTCATTTCTAGAATTAGAATGCCCCGGCTTCGCACAGGTGTACATGTATTATACATATAAACTTTCCTATTGAATTACCTCTATTTACTGCTAAAATCTGTATTAACACTCGTGGCGTAGTTTAAAAAATCTAAGCGAATAGACAGCGGAAGCGATGGGTGATAATGTACGGGAATAAGATCAATAAGTATATATGATCAAAATTTCCAATAATCAATGTCGTTTTCTTTGCAGGAGGAGCTGGACTTAACAGCAGTCAATAAAGCAGCAATGATGGAGTTACCCGCTGCAAAGAAATGGCAAATATACTGCAGCCGACGACCGCCTCCAGGTCAAGCCCCACCTCTGGCTACCGCACCTCAAGTTGAGGAGTACATCAAGGCACTGAATGAAATCTCTGATGTGAGTTTAATATGACTTATGCAGAAGTTAAAATTTTTATATTTCAAGTTTGAAATAATATAAGGTCCACTGTTGTTGCGAGGAAAGAGATTTTCTAGGTATGGGCATCTAATAAACGAGGAGCGAGGACGATGTCTTAAAGATAGTACTTTATATGATGCGGATGGATGTAAAGGAAGAAGACGAGGAAAAGATGGATGGATTCTGTGGAAGATGATTATGAATAAAAGGAGCTCAGATATGACTTACGATAGGGATCAATGAAAGAAGATGACAGATTACCCAGACACCAGTATTATAGTATTATGAAGGCAAGGCAATGATGATAACATGATTTATTATTAAAGAAAGTAGTGGTAATCTTGAGTCTTATTAATCATATTGTGTGGTAATAATTACATGTGCATACGTGTTAAAAGATATTGGGATAATAAATAACTTTTGAATAATCTTTACACGTTTTGGATGTATCAGTTGCGTGGTTACGCAAAGGAAATGCACTCGCTACACAATTTAAAAAATAATTAATTTTTATTGCACTACGGTGTACATTTACTTAAGTTATAAATAACTTACTAGACGTCATCTTTACAGACTAGAGTCATATTAATATTTTGTATAACAAGGTAATTGATAAAAGTCAAACGTTATTTTTACGCTATAATTTACATTCTTGAATCTACAGAATATGTTATGTCAGGAGGTATACATATCAAAGGATTTTTTCATTACTCGTAATTTTCAAATTTACTGACTTCGACTTTATACACTCGTTTGCGTGTACCTCTAGTATACATGTCTATTCCTCGACATCTGCGTCAATGTCTCAATGCACCTCAATGTTTGCTGCTGACCTTAGTTTATAAGCTGTATTCCTATTTGAAGGATCACATATATGACGATTACTACTTTCCATTAGGTGCGCTGATGACTTGTTTGTCATTTCACTTATATAAGACAACATTAATAATAATAATTTTCAGGCCTTTATTTCATCGGAAGGTGTACCACCACCGGAAGCTTGCGCCTTAGTAGATGGATTAAAAACTGCACTTCGAACCCGAGCACATAGCTTCGTACTTCACTTTGTCAAGCAAGGCGGCTTGGGGCCCTTCTGAGCGTGTTGCAACGTGCATCAAGGGACGATGCACTCACTAGACATAATCTCATCGCAGCCATAAAGGCTTTGATGAATAACTCGGTAAGTTATTTATAATTATAAAATAGTCGTATATTTCTGACGCAATCCATTTGGTTTGGTAAGTAACTTCTGTTAAAGAGTAGGTATATAGGTATAGGTGGATACCTCACCTATAAATTACAGGATACTCTAGTCCTCTGGAATCACAACAGATAAGGGTATATGATGACGTTATAATGTCCGCAGTGCTGTTCATGTATGTATTGATTGCCACTTAGCATTTGATCCGCTGTCAGCGTCTTTGCTTTCTTCTGAATTAAAAAAGGCAGACTTATGACGACGCTGTGAGGATCGTATGTTATATCCTTTTTCATAATTTAAAATTTTGGCTTTAGAATCTACTTCAATTATTAAATTAAATGACAGTTAAAGCTTCCAAGTAAATATTTTTGACAAAAACATAGTGAGACTTGAGAGTATATATTTTGCTGTGGTTGAGAAGGAGGAGGAAAGGAAATAAAGACAGACCATTCAACCCGTCGTTCTAAATTCATAATCAAATAACCACAACGCCCGATTAATAATAGTATTGTACACATATATTTTAATATAACTATATTTTCTATCTCCGAAGAGATTGTCGGAAATTAACGTTTACAGTCTTTTTTACAACAGTCATAATTCCATTGAGGTCTTATATGTGCTGGTGGTAGACCGCTAGACCGTGACGTTCTTTTTATTAGTAATACAGTAGCATTTGTGATCATTCAAGCAAACAATATTGGTTAATGTCCGCATTCGATAACTACTCGTATGTATTTGGTTGAATGCCAACACTTTATGATATATCCGGCTCATTGATTTTTTACTTTGAATCCATTGGGATTCAAAGTAAACAATCAATGAGCCGATGGACATTAGTCATTGGACTAATGTCCTGGGTCACATTCCTACATACTAAAGACGTATGAATTTATTTCATTTTCCAAACATGGCCTGTTAAAGAAAATCATCAGACTGACATTGGAGATACTTTGAAACCTTTTCTTTACATATTTTCTTTTAATATAAAATCGTGACATCTGCTTGTTTGTTTAAAATTGACTGTAGTGTTTTATGTACCATGATTTAGGTATCGTGTATGGATTATATACAATTTGATTTCAATTATTCAAATTTAATCCATAATCTAAACTGAAGAACTTTCAGAAAATAATAGCTTTAAAAATTATTCAATAAGAATAAGAATAAAATAGAGAGTTATAAATAGAAAGTTAATAATTAATGTTAATATACCTATAGTATGTATTTTTTTTCTATTATCCTAGTCGTTTCTTGAAGAAAGCGTTGCAGTATTTTACCTAGCTTTAAGTAGCGTCTAGTCGGGAATCAAAATATGGATGATATTGCATATTTGTGGCATACGGGTTATACCCATTACTACTTCTATATATTCTCGTCCTTTGTATATATTGTAGGTAATATATATTTTTTACAGACTGGCCGTGCCCATGTTTTAGCGCATCCCACCAGTATAGACCTGATTGCACAGTCGCTAGATACAGAGAATGTGAAGACAAAAGTAGCCGCATTGGAAATACTCGGTGCTGTATGTTTGGTGCCGGGAGGACACAAGAAGGTAACCTTTCCTTTACTATTGAGGTTGATAATATTAATAAAAATTAGAAATAAAAAAAAATTACTGGATGGCCAAACTGGACAACAGGAATTTTGATTAAAATGTTGATGTTCATAGACTATATATGTTCTGTATACATCAATTATATTTTATATACTTTAATTACATCCTTTTTTGGTAAATTACAACGAAATATTATTCTTTTTTTTTTCATAAAAGATAATTGTTAATATTGAAATAGTCTTCCTCCAAATAAATACCAATAAATACAAACCTTCATATAATTATCTACCTACATAAGTTTTGAGGTATGTACCCTTATCATAAGAATAGAATGGCTTCTAATGTACTAAAATAATTCTTAGGTACTAGAGGCCATGATTCACTATCAAAAGTATGCCGGCGAGCGAGCCCGGTTTCAAGGGATAGTGAACGAACTTGACCGCAGTACGGGGGCTTACCGTGATGACCTCGGGGTGAAGACTGCCATCATGTCATTCATCAATGCCGTCTTAAATTACGGACCTGGAGAGGACAGTCTGGAGTTCAGACTGCATCTGAGATATGAGTTGCTCATGTTGGGGATACAACCAGGTATCAAAGAATTCCATCTAATATGTAATTTTAGTAAATTTTTGCTCAAATATTTCTCAAAACTCAAAATTAAATATTATAATTTCAAATTTATCTTACTTCATTTTGTATATAGCAAAGCTTGCCAAAGATATCGGAACTAGAAAATTAAAGGACTCTTTAAGAAATTCTAACAAATATATAGGTACATAGCTACCAGCCGTAGAAAAAGATACTATGTAACTTATCTGCTCTGCGAAATTCCTGTGAAGTTTTTTTACTGATAATTTCGTACGTAAATCTCTACGGTAAATATAACGGTATAAAAACAAATTTTGCATTGCAAATACACTATTTTTTCATAAGAATCCTTTCGGTAATCGCGACGCTTTCTTTTCGCAGTAATCGAAAAACTAAGGAAATATGAGAACGAAACTTTGGACCGACACATCGAGTTTTTCGAGATGGTTCGGAACGAAGACGAAAAAGAACTTGCCAGGAGATTTGACAAAGAGCACGTGGACACCAAGAGTGCGGCGTCGATGTTCGAGATCCTGAGAAGGAAGCTTAGTCACACCGCTGCCTATCCACACATGTTGTCATTGTTGAAACATCTACTTCTGTTGCCATGTAAGTTGTGATATTTATATTATGTAGGTATATAATATAAATTTTACATTAAAACTTTAAAAGTATATTATCATTAAATGAATATAACATTTTCTACTCAAATGCTTAATGCACCTAATAATAATAATAATAAATAACCCTGGACAATTAACATAGCGCGTCTAGTAAGCAAACTTTGTGTTATGGGTACTAGAAAACTGATATAAATACTTAGATATATATTTTAAATACATATATAATATACAAAAAACACCTAATACAAACAATATAATCATGAATACAAATGTTTACACCATACGAGGAATCGAACCCGCGACCATCGGAAGTAAAGCGGTGTGGTATACTGCTAGACCACCGAGCCAGTCACTTGGAATTATACTTTTCATTATATTTTGTTAAGTTCAACTTATCAACATTATTGCTTTTACAGCCCTCTATTTATATGAATGCTAACTAAACCTATAATAAATTTATTTTAATAATTTTAGCTTCTTGCTAACTGTTTTGTCTTTTTCTTTTGATATATTTTTTTTAGTTGTAAATAAGAAACTATTTAGTGTAATATTTAAAATTTGTTTGTCGTTTTTAATTGTTGTTGTTTTGTGTGTGTTTCCAGTGGAATACAATCCTCACTCGCAGCACTGGTTGCTGGTGGACCGCGTGGTGCAGCAGGTGGTGCTGCAGCAGCCCGGCGCCGGCAGCCGCGCCAACAGCGAGCAGGGCAGCCTGCCAGATGTCAACACAGACCCGGCCAAGGTGATCATTTTAAACGTTGAACGAAGAAATTAATGTATCAGAATTTTTGATATTATCTTTCGGTGTGAACAAATTTTACATAGATAAAATAATTTGGTTAATATTTACGGCTTTAGCAAGGTGTCTTACTTCTGATGGTTGCAGTTTCGATTTCTCGCACGATTTTTTTTATTGGACTACTGTAATACTATTGGCTGCTGTTGGCTTTTGCCTTCAGGCCTGGAGCGACTGAAGGCAGTTAGCCTTGGGCCCCGCCTAATAGATACAATCCGACTTCCTGGCAAAACTTTGTATCTACGAATATGAATGATTGTATTGATCTGTGTGTCTTCTATGTATATTATGTATGTATTTAAAAAAAAACAGTATATTAATTATTATTCTATGATTTGTCTGGTACCCATAACATAAGCTGTGCTTTGTTTGGAAATATATATATGTAGTTTAGTAAAAGTACATATTTGTTAAAAATAATTTAATGGTCCATTTAATTTTCAGATCTATGACCCTGACGTCGCTCCCCTTGAAATTAATGTAGGAGAAATAGTGCACCTTTTAGCCAAAGAAGAAGAACTCGTTGCTGCCAGATCAAAAGCCGAGAATTTAGAACGAGAAAATATCGATTTGGCTACGGAACTTGCCAAAAAGGTATACTTTTCTAAATTTTAAAAACGGTGATGGAAATCATAATCGTAACTAAACGAAAACATTGAATGTTAAATTCTGACATTGGTGTAAAAGATTATTAATTTTTAAAAATGTGAAGGATCTATTAGGTTTTGGTACTTACGATTTGCATTAATCAAGCTGATTTTTGAACGAGATCGCATCGAAATTCAATGAAACGATGTTAAATTGTCTTATCGACCATATATGATACGATACAACATGATCATCAATTCAAACTGTAATTACACTAAAATGTTGTGTTACGCTTTATAGTATAAATAGTAAAATATCTTTATCAACCTCGTCTGTATTCTGTCTATATCTGTATCTTTGAGGAAATTACAAAAACATGCTGGTCGAATTTGTCAAAAGTCAGTATTTTATTAGATTATGGTTACATTCTTTTTATGACAAGAATAGCCATGTGGAAAGATTAATTTTCATAATCTAGGTACAATACATGATTATACTAATTCAATATGGACACATAATCATCAATTTTATTTATAAAAAAAAGGTTAACGTTGTGCTATAAGAGATAATAAACTAATAGTAACTTTAATCGGTTGCTTCAATATGCATGGTAAGCGATTTCTAATGAAATGATCACAATGTAGGTATTATATTCATGAATAATTTAGCTATTAAGGTGAAAAGTATTAATGGTCACCAGCACCGCATGCTAACCCTCGCTAACGCACTAACAGGAGAAGCAAGTTGACCAGCAGTCCCAGGAGCGCGAAGAACTGGAGGATGTGGTGTCAAGACTCAAGGAGCGACTTGAGCGCGAGACCGCTGCGCACATGGAGAGTGGCGAGAGGGCACGTGCTGCTGCCACCAGGGCGCTGCAGCTCGAACAGCAGGTTTGGGGGGAAAAGGATGCTACAGCTCGAGGAACGGGTACTTAGTGGGGAACAGGATACTACCGTTCGAGGAGCGGGTACTTGGCTGGGGAACGGGGTGATACAGCTGGAGTTACGGGTACTTAGTGGGAGTACGGAGTGCTACAGCTCGAGTAACGGGTACTTAGTGGGGAAACGGGGTGTTACAGCTCGAGTAACGGGTTCTTATTGGAGTAACGAGGTGTTACTACTAACGATTAACGGGTACTTAGCGGGGGAAACGGTTAACTGTATTAAAAACAGTTGGTATGGTATAGAGAAAAAGATGATTAAAGATTGAGCAATATAGAGGTGTGTGGGGTGGGAAACGATATAGCTATAGCTTGAGCAACGAGTACTTAAAGGGCTACAGCTGGACTAGCAATCACGGGTAGCAGCAGTAATTATTTTGACTTAATTGATACATTTTTGTGTGTATTTATTTACTTGTAAAAATTGAATATATCTTTTTGCATTTCAGTTAAATCAAGAACGATCTGAAAGAGTCAGATTCGAGAAACTAGTCAGTGAAGGAAGTATACCTGATGACGCCAAGGTAATTTATATTTCCACTAATTGTTTCTTATGAAGCCCAAATAGTTAAAGTGCTATTATTGCACTACGAGAGAAAACACTTGGTTTGGTCCATTTGCAAATATATTTTATGTTTGAGATACACAAACTTGTACATCATGCGTTTCATCCCACCTACCAAACGTTTTAGACTGGACTTTCTTTAAAATTTTGTTAATTTATTGAAAACACAAATATTTAGTCTGATGGGTTGCGAGTTACCAACTAATTGACCTACTTCAAATAAATGACCTGAGATACATTTAGGACCAGAGAGTGATTACTGAAATTTGTCCATAAAAAATGTGTCTAGGGCGCAGGGCGGTATCTGGAGCATTATGATGTTTATCCAAGAACAATACGTCTAATAACTGTGCCCGTTAAACCGAGGGCAATTTATAGCCTATGTGATTCAGAATCAGTTGTTCTTGCGTGAGAGTAAGAAACATCCATCCGTCCTATCTTCAACACTCTCAAACCGCCACGTTTAATATATTAGTAAGATACGACTATATTAAACGTGAAGGTTTGTGAGTGTTGAAGATAAGGACTATATTAGTAAGATAAGGACTCAAACGACAAAATCTAAACAAGATTATCGGAAACGCAGGTGAGCAACCTGAAGAGCGCAGTGATAGAGAGCTGCGCGGCGCCGCCGCCGCCGCCGCCGCCGGCGCCGCAGCCGCCGCTGGCGCCGGGCGCGCCGCCCGCCGCGCCGCCCCCCGCGCCGCTTGCGCCGCCCGCGCCCTCCCTCCCCAAGCCCAAGAAGAACGTGCCCACCCCCGGGAACCCGCTCAAGAGCTTCAACTGGAGCAAGCTGCCCGACGCCAAGCTCCACGGCACCATCTGGCAGGAGCTCGATGACACCAAGTTGTACAACGCTATGGATCTGCATACTATCGATAAAATGTTTTGCGCGTATCAGAAGAATGGTGTGCAGGTCGGTAAACTATATTTTTGTGAAATTAATTTCCAAACTTGAACTTGTTTAGCTGAGGAATTACCATATATTTATTATTTTTATGAGCTCAAAGAGAGTTTGAAATTACCGTCACATAAGTAAAAATAAATGTATGTACCATATTTTTAAGGAATGCCTTCGTTGTATACCAATCAAGTATAATTTTTATCGAATTTTATTGAGAAGAAAAAATAAAACCTATTTCAGAATGAGGGTTCCGTGGAAGACTTACGGCAGTTGGGATCTAAGCCTCGAACTAAAATCTTGTCTGTCATAGACGGACGTCGTGCACAGAACTGTACTATCTTGCTTTCCAAGCTTAAGATGTCGGACGAAGAAATATGTCGGTATGTATTTTGGATATCAAAATATTAATATATTTTTAGTTCGATTTCCTCTTATTATAATAAAATAGATGGAATAGGCATAGGAATATATATATATATATTGAGTTTTATACGTTGTACGTCTCACACTCTTCATATACTTCTCTTTTCGTTCTCATTCTTTTCATGTATACACTCTGATACCTTTAAGTCCTGTATCATATACGACACTGGACGGTTATGGATAGCATATTAACTATTTGATCGTTATAGGTCTATCTAGACCTTCATCATTTAATTATGATGAATATTTTTATATGAGAACAGATCTAGAATGCTCTAGAAGAAAAGATTTAGAAGCTTGCATCTTCCGCATATTTTTTATTGTAATTCTATCATCTGACTGCTTTTCGCATGTCCTGAAATTTTCATTCCTAAATATGTAATTTCATCAAACTTACCATGACCATTGAACTACATACCTTCATATTTGTTTTATTCGTATGGTTATTAAACTAATTATTAATTGATGTTATTTATCAGAGCGATATTACGGATGGATAGCAATGAACAACTACCCATCGACATGGTGGAACAGTTGCTCAAGTTCACACCCAGTGCCGAGGAAGCTGCATTGCTAGAAGAACACCAGGACGAGCTTGACAGCATGGCGAGAGCTGATCGGTTCCTATACGAGATCTCTAAGTGAGTATCCGAGAATGATGATACACTATAGTCTGTTTTTTCTGAAACAACAATTGACATTAAGTACTTATATTACCAGCTTTTTTCGATTTTATCGTTCTATCGATAGCGTTGTGGCACAATCGAAAATTAATATTAATTACCGATTTTTGTAGGTTACACTCAAATAATATGTGAGTGTTTATTTTAAGTGCATTAATGCAAAATTAATAAAGTTTGGGCATTAATAAATATAGAGTTCCAGTCTAAACTAGCTTTTTAATTTAGTTCGTTCTACAGGACTAATGTAAGGTGCGAATTCTATACAATATTGTTTTGTCGGTCTAGAATCCCGCACTACTCGCAGCGCGTACGCACGCTGCTGTTTAAGAAGAAATTCTCAGTAGCGGCTGCTGAAGCGCAGGCGCGCGCTTCCACCGTGCTGCGCGCCGCCCGCGAGATGACGCGCTCGCGCCGCCTGCGAGCGCTGCTCGAGGTCGTGCTCGCGCTCGGCAACTACATGAACAGGTCTGTACACCTCCCCCACCCTCCACCGTGCTGCGCGCCGCCCGCGAGATGACGCGCTCGCGCCGCCTGCGAGCGCTGCTCGAGGTCGTGCTCGCGCTCGGCAACTACATGAACAGGTCTGTACACCTCCCCCACCCTCCACCGTGCTGCGCGCCGCCCGCGAGATGACGCGCTCGCGCCGCCTGCGAGCGCTGCTCGAGGTCGTGCTCGCGCTCGGCAACTACATGAACAGGTCTGTACACCTCCCCCACCCTCCACCGTGCTGCGCGCCGCCCGCGAGATGACGCGCTCGCGCCGCCTGCGAGCGCTGCTCGAGGTCGTGCTCGCGCTCGGCAACTACATGAACAGGTCTGTACACCTCCCCCACCCTCCACCGTGCTGCGCGCCGCCCGCGAGATGACGCGCTCGCGCCGCCTGCGAGCGCTGCTCGAGGTCGTGCTCGCGCTCGGCAACTACATGAACAGGTCTGTACACCTTTTTAAATAGCCGAGTAATGTAATTAAGTAAAATCTGGCTTAGCTCAATTGTGATAGATGCAATATAATGTGAAAAATACGTTTTACTTGTATTAATATACTTTATTTTTTACTAGGGGTGCTCGCGGCAACGCTTCCGGGTTCCGATTGACGTCGCTCAATAAACTTGCTGATACGAAGTCCAGCGTCTCGCGGAATACTACCTTGCTACATTACCTCGTAGAAATGCTTGACACACAGGTGACTCGTCTAAATATGTATAACATATGATGTTTAAAATATCGAAACATAGTCATATCATAATGTCGTCTTTAGAACAACAGAAATCTTATTGCCTCAAATATTTCTCACTAACAGGTAGAGAAAATTTGACAAATATAGTCAAATCAATTTACTCTTTACGTAAATACACGTGTATGGTATATCACAGTGTGTTTCGTGTTAAGTTCAAGGACATCCTGCTGCTGGAGGAGGACGTGCCGCACGTGCGCGCGGCCGCCAAGGTGTGCGTGGAGCAGCTCGAGAAGGACGTGGGCGCGCTGCGCGGCGGGCTGCGCGAGGTGGCGCGCGAGCTCGACTACCACGCCGCGCTGCCCGCGCCCACCGACCACGACGCCTTCCTGCCAGTCATGCGAGACTTCCACGCGCACGCCGTCTGCACCTTCACGCAACTCGAGGATCTCTTCCAGGTCACCATTGTCTTATTTAATTTTGTTTATTTACAGCTACCGACCGAACAAGTGTAGGTTTATCTTAAGGACAAAATTGGAGTGTCGTATTAACATTAAAAGTACATGATGGAAGACCGTGGAAAGTAACAAGAGCTCCACCGACTCTTATATTGCGATTTAATGAATTGGTTCTATCGGCTAATATTATTACCTATTATTATTACTATTATTAGGACATGAAAAGTCGATTGGAGAAGTGCGCACACACGTTCGGCGAGGAAGCAAGCGCGTCGCCCGAGCAGCTGTTCGGTGCACTGGACGCCTTCCTGCAGCAGCTGGCCGACGCACGCGCAGAGTGTGATGCGGCCAGGCGACGCCGCGACGAAGAGCAGCGACGCACGCGGCACGAGCAGGAGGTGACTCTCTCTCTCTCTCTCATTCTCTCTTTCTCTGTCTCTCCCTCTCTCGTTTGAATTCGTATTTTTGTTCTCTAAGTATGGTAAACAAGCCACCTTATGGTAAGTAGTAACCGTCCTTATTTTCATGATTACCGCGATACCACTCATGCGTTGCCATTCCGAAGGACTAAAGTGTGACTTGTCCTATAATTTCAGTACAATTGCCTTATATAATGACCACTATTAGATAGACGTTGATCCTTTTAAACGCAATTAATTGAAAATATTGCATTTTTTATATGTACTTGGTACGCATATATACACGGTATAAAAATAATCTGATCTACGATATCATCCCTGTTGATGATCTAAGTATTGTATCTATAAATTACCGAAAACATATACACATAGTGAAATTTATTAATTTATTATTTATTTATTAATACATTTATACTTTAATTTAGAATTGGAAAGTTATGGTTATGCTTAGCAAAGATTTTGTTACAATTAAATATGTTGAATATAGAATGAAGAAATGAGAGTTAATGAATGAATGAAAAATATATTGCCAATCGATAGAAATATACCTACATGCCTTAAAAGTATACCTATTCATATTAGTCCTTAAAGCTATTATAGATATATTTCATTATATTTTAATTTTTTATTACAGCTTAAAAAACGCACTTTAGAACGCAAACAAGCCTCAAGCCTGCTTAGTTCTGTGGGAAAGTCGCTAGGCAAATCAAATGGATCTGCAGACTGTAACGGCCATGCCAACGGAGACACATCTCGCGACGGCACCCTCACAAATGGTCAGAAAGGTGAGTTCGATGACCTCATCTCGGCCTTAAGAACCGGGGACGTGTTTGGAGACGACGTAGCTAAGTTCAAAAGATCTCGAAAAACTTCCAAAGCCAATCATAAAGGACGGGATTCGCCACCGCGAGGGGTCTGCAGGGAGGACTCTAGAGAAAGACAAAAGAATTGAAGATTCGGCTTAAGCGAAAGGTTGTGCAATCAACACTTGAATATTATATTTAATTAAACTGTAAGCCTACAGCCGTAGAGTAATTTCAATACGTGATATATTTCGTTTTTTGACATTTTGAATTTTTGAACGTGATAAGACTTTTGAGTCACAAATATTGAGATTATATACGAGTATTGTGTGAGTAGGAATCTTGTGGAACAATGTATGGCAATTTATATGGCTATTCTGTAAGGATACCACACGTTATCGATATCTATTGACCACCGTAAGGGAACTGACGACTGGGTTGCTACGATGAGCCATGACTAAGATAAAACAGAACACAGAAAGTAAAATAAGAGATACATGTTGTTTTATTTGTCAAAAATAAAACTTTTATAAATCAAATAAAATTCTCAGCTCATATCGACTATAATGAGTGGGTTCTAGTTTCAAACCAGTCACTAGTTTGTTGATGATAATATATCTTTAATAAAAATAGGAAATAAATATTACTCGAAAGAAATTAGTAATTATATTGTAGATATTTAAAATGGTTTATATGAGCCATAGTTTTACATGTAGTAAGCATGGTGACTAGTTTACAAAAATTTTCAACACCAATAATATTGTGTCATAAAATTGAATTAAGACAACAACGAATATCCGCGGCCATTATTTAGGTACCTGTTCCTTTAACTATACAACATATTCTTAAAAAAAAACACAAATCTGGTGCCTAAATATGTAAGATTTTCGGATTATTTTTAATTTTTGACAATTTGGCCTTTGGCTATCGACTGATGAAGTCAAAGACTGGCATATTATTCCATAGACCTAATGATATAGAATGTACTGATAAGCGATGTGTGATTTGAGTAACCATAGAGTAGTTACTGATTTTTCATTAGAGTTATTGTAATCAGTAGAATTTGTTTGACCGTCCTTACAGTTGATATTTTAATTTTTTTTTAAGTTTAAGATTAGTTTCAATAATACCTCTAAAGGTGCCGGAATTTAAGGAATGATAATAATGATAATTGTGTCAAAAATGTAATGTAACGACGGTCCAATTTAAGTATATTTCAATCAGTGCAAACTTTTTACATATCTTCAAATGTCTTGTCACACAAAGCACTACAAGAACTTTTGTAAAATGTTATGAATTGACAAATTTTTATTATATTCAAACAATAATCACTATATATAGGAATTGACACGACGGGCTACCAACAAGTGGATATTGAATTTTTTTATAACATTTGTAATAACAAGTAGATAAAATTTTCGATAAATTTACATTGTAACTGACTTTCTCTAATGAGTTCTCATTACTATTATTATTACTTTTAAATATTTTACGAAGTGATACATGAAGTTATTTTATTTTTGTAAATATAATTTTAATTTGCCAAAATTTGTTACCGTGACGAGAGGGAAAGAGAATTTTAGTAATTTATTAAAATTTCGTATGTACCGAAGTTTATGATTATGTAAATTTTATTGTTTTGTTCAGTATTGTATAAGCGTATAATATATTAATGTAATTATTATACCTACTTATAGAGTATTTAAATTAAATATGTGAAACTATGCAGACTTTTATTTTTAAATAACCCTAATGCATCCTGGTGAGCTTTGAATAGGCCTAACCATCCTCCAACCTGGGGTCAAAGTTGGATCGATGACCACACTGACAGTTTCGAAGTCCCCATCCTGTGGTCTAGGCATCCATGGCCTAGGTGGTCTAGCTGTAGGCCCCGCCTACTTCCGGGTTTGGTTCTTCGCAAGTTGAAAACATTTGTATTTATGGCAATGATCATTTGTATAGCCTGGGTATTTTCTTTGTATATTTAGTATTTATTTACAAAACAAATAATGTACTTATAAAACAACACAAATTACAAATAATGTCTAGAAGGCCTAACACAAGTTCTAACATCTCCTAGATGACACCGACTGAAGCTGATGACCACCCGATAGTAAGTGGTCACCGTTGCCTGTGTGTGTCATGTGACATAAGTTGCTATTCTAGTGTCCTAGCTCTTATGCCTAATTTCACTAAACGTACCGTACCTACAAAGCGAAACGGTTTAGGCTCAAAATAGGTGATACAATGATGCCACGCCGACTTCTTTTTACATAGTTTTATATTTTAGACTTGGAACCTACCTTGAATATTACCTACTACTTCGGGGGCGGCTATTGTTCGTAATGTGGACTATTGACCCGATTGCTCGCAATGTACCTATATACATATATCAGGTTGACCTTCACGCGGTTCCTCCTGGAAACTCATAATAAATTCCTAGTGATTTTGTCACGATAGGTTAACTGACTTGACCTCTTGTTTACCTTATCATCCTTCACTGCGTAAACCCTTAGCCCAGGCGGGTGCACCATTCCATTATCTTCCATAAAAAAAATTACTTCTTCAAAAAAGTCTCGAAAGCAACCTTACATATTATTTATTCAAGAAAATCTATCACACTAAATGGTTTGTGTTACTATTTTAATGAATTTTCCTATAATGAACTTCGTATATATATTATTTAGTACTGTTGATTATACGATTTGAGATAATTAGGTGAAGTCTTGCATAATGGACGGCGAAAATAGATAGTGAAATATAGTAGCTGCTATCTCGGGAAAGAGTGTAAACTTTCAAGCTTGTTAAGTTGACTATACAACCCAGCGCAAATTGGCAGACAGTACGACAGAATATTTTTTCTAGTAATTCACTAAATGACATTAATTTGTTGTGTACCTAATGTTTATATAGTAATAATAGCTAACCCACATAAAAATTCTTTGGCCGCATAAATTAATTAATAAGGCGTAATTGACACCTAGATGTATAAAAATACTTCTACGTTTTCTTTCTTCATTTACAAAAATTGGTCAAGTTGTTTTGGAGGAGTTATATAACAACTGACAAACGCTGTGAAGAGATTTTTATATATTAGAAGAAAAAATAGAGTAGAGTATAATCTAATTAGATATTTTGGTAATAGGAATTGCCGAGACATTCCTTTAGTAATTTAATATCATTTTACGTAAAAGAATCGTGTAACAAAATTACTAAGATTCTAATACATTTTATATATTATTGTTGTAGGCATTTGAAACCCAACATTTTTTATTAATATTAATATGTGTGTGTACCTTATTTATATTACGACCTACGATAACAATGAAGATTTTTATGTTATAACATACAATTACATCCCAGGATATTGTAATTCACAGAATATTTGGGTATAATTTATTATTAGAATATGAAGAAATTTTAATTTATGAGGGTTTACTATGAATACATGAACAGCTGTTAAGGTAATATTATGTTATCTGTGGTAATATATGAAAAAAATATTGTTATGAACCTAAAATACTTTTGCTCATTTGATTTGACATTTAAATTAGTATTAAAGAACGTTTATGAAATAAAATTTTACAAATCTTAACAAAATTGTTAATGCAGGTTGTTAAAAAAAATTACTAGGCTTATTATAGATTTCAGGCGATCTAAGAAGCGATCCAGAGCGCACCACCTCTATTTCGATATAGCCTCTGATTTTAGTGTTGTGAATTGGAAATTTTATTCTAATAATATTTTATACATTAGATATTTATAGGTAAAGAATCTTAATAATAACATTATAAACATTACAGATATTTTGACGAAACTTTACAATAATATATGTCTTACACATAAAATAACATATAGCTAAACTACAGTTTTTATTGAAATTTAACACGGACTTATGTTCTTATTTTTTTAATTAGGTTGACTGGTTTATGAAATACTGTTATATTCATTCATTAGCAGCTATTAGATTAACCGTCAGATTTATTTTGAAAAAAAATACCTTATCTATGTTTCTCCAACATATTTATATATTCAATCTATTTATAGAAATTCGCCACTAACATGAGGTCATGAAATTAATTACTACACAATATTAATTATCATTTATTTATTAAAGACAACTATGATTGAAAATATAACATTAATTACGACACGTAGGTATCTTATTTCTACTTATATTAAACAATTAGTCAATAAATATACGAATCATAGATTTCTAAACTACATACATCGGTTCATTTTATAAATCTAACGAAAATACATAATCATGATTTAGTTATTCCATAAAATATATATATCGTTTTTCAACTTTGGCATTCGTATTTATTATTACTTATCACAGACCTTACTATGACTTCCATTAAAAAGGCAGCACCTCTTTTCGATAACAATTCCCGAACATTGTAATACTCGTAATAGCTCTAGCTCTCTCACTAATAAAATTTACAATATTTGAATAGTGCATAAATATTTTTATTTTATTATTACAATATCTAAGACAAAATGAAAGAATGTTTTATTTAATTGATGCATTGATCCCAATTATTTTCAGTGACAATGATTCCCAATTAATTATTATTATTCAATTACGTAACTAATTATCATCATCGGTGCTATCATTATTTTGATTTTCAACGTTACACAGATACGTTTTAAACTGATTCGTGTTGTTATCAAATAATTTACCTATTACACTATCTTTGAAGAACCCTTTTGGTTGTATAATCGTTTCAAATTTACTCTCGACTGACATTTTTCTCTTTCTATTTTCGTATGAAACAATATTTAAATCCAGAGAGAAACTTGGTTTTATTTCTTTCTGTAAATTTATATTCTTGTATTCGTTGGTTTCTGCATTAATATTTTCGGTGCGATACATATCTTCTTTTAACGCATCAGTAACATGCTCTACGTAACCTTTATTGCCGTAAGCATTCGTATTGTCATCTGAGTCATTACTGTCATAATCTCGATTGCTATAATTTTTACTAAAAATCAAATGTTCTTTATCTATAATTGTAACACCAGGTGAACGTTTCTGGAATAACTTACACGATGGCCCGAAGAGCGGGAACTTTTTAGTGTTGTTACAACTATCTTCTTCATATATAGTATTGCCTGATTTTTCTACATCTGATGCGGACCGATTTTCTTGTATTGTACAAAGTTCGACATCTTTTTGGTAAGATCGGTTCTCTGTTTTGATACTTTCTGATAAATCATCATTGAAGATTATCTTTTTATCCTTGTTATGCTTTTTCGAAGATATAGATACCACAGTCTCAGTTGAGTTATATCGCGTAGTTCCTTCGTTCGTACCAGACCTCTTCTGTGTCGGCGACAATGTTGTATTGTTGTGACCTTTCTCAGATTTCGATTGATTTTTGTTATCATGCATTCCAAATATGCGTTTTATTGATTGACGAAACTAGAGCAAATAATATTAGACAAATAAAATAATATGATAATAATAATATGACAGCAGAAAGTGGTTCATGTAAAGATTTTTTAATTATATATACATATATAACATTTGAAATATAAAATTTAAAATATTATCTAATAGTAACATATATTTTTTAACATAATAACATTAAATATACTCACTTGGGTATTCATGCCAACATATATGAGGGGATCATAGCAAATTGAGCTTTTTGCCACCAGTGCTGGAATAACTCCGGCTCCTGGAGATATCTGTGACAAAATAACGATCAAAAAGATTAATCAGAAATGAAAATAATTATATTATTTAAGCTATTTAATGTTACTCCCACAGAAAATATAGATACAGAAAAATATTATTACAATGAACAAGACAAAGATTAACGGACAATCTTTACGTTACAGCAATTGTTTCCAGGTAATCTTAGCATGACTGCACTTGCGCTTGTGTAAGTAATAATAAAATAAACTTTATAAGGAAAATATTGTTAGATATACGTGTTTATAATTAGATATTAGTAACAACCAACAACATCGACAGGAAATTATATATGAACTTTCAGATCAATGCTTGTACGCTTGATGTAGTATGATTGATTTTATTATACTTACAATTCCTTCAGTAGCGAACTGCTCCATTAAAGCAAACAAGGAATATGGTGTCCATGCCACAGTGAAGGATATAATCATGATGAAGACCATG